CGTGTCTTTCGGTCTCCCGCGTGACTTTACGCGTCCGCGGTATCTAACGAGATAGAATCGATCTCCCGCGAGAACCACGATTCTGCAGTTTTACGCGCGCAACTTCTCGCGCCATCACGAAGTCCACTCGCGCTAGTGGCCCGCTTAATTAGACATCATTTATCACACCGTTATCTTCATTTCGTGATTTTATTGTTAAACATCGCTCGAATTGTTAATCATTACCAGTGTTAAATAAACGTTTAAGTTTCGTTGACCGCACTTCACATCCAGAAAATTATCTAGCCGTTCCTCCGCGAATCGAACTAACAAAGCCAACACAACATTTATTGGTCCTTTGAGTCGGATCGCGGAGCGGAACGTAACAAATACACTAACAGGTGGTTCGCAAGGAGGTTCCCATCGTAGGGTAAAAAATAGAAACACCGACTTATTTTTCTTTAAAAATGAGAACAGTCTTTATTTCTGTGGTCCCGCCGAATCTTCTGAGAGGTTGAAGATGAAACGAGTTTCTTCTGAGTCGATGCGTCGACACTTGCACTCACGGGAACGACAAAATGGCCCAACAAACAGAAACCACAAAATCGGACGGTCCGTCCTCGATGACGATTCGAGACAAAAGAGAGCCCTCTCCTATTGAGTCCGTTCGACGTCGTCGAAAATTCGCGGAGTGGGACGCAGGGAGGGCCAACCGTCGGCACTGTTGGTCCTTGAAACGTAAACATGGAACGGTCGAGAAGTCTAGTCGACTCTAGCTCGAACGCTTGAACATCTTCGTCACAGTGTTTGAAAACCTGGCACTGCATACTGCTCGCTTGCGCGGCGTTACCACTCGGCTACGCACTACTTGCGAGGACAGCTAACTCCACAGTCTTATATTCTACGAATCACATTCCTTTGAACCCAAGGGGTAATTTACCCTTCGAATGTATCGGATGGTACCTGATCGTATTCTTTTATTAATTTTAATCGTTAAAGTCCTGTAAGTCCAAGGAAGTCGTACAAAGCTGGTTTTAAAACGAGATTATACATCATTTTATTAAAGGGTTGTTACAACCCTTAAAATTCGTTTTTCGAAAAAAACCAAAATACGCTTTTTTTGTATTGTTCTGGTCTATAAATTAACCAAGTTTCATTTGGATAGAGCAATTACTGCTCGCGTAAGGGGTAAAAGAAGTATTCAAAGGGGTGGCTCACCCCTTAAAATTGAATTTTTTCGAAAAATTCTAAATGCATGTTTCATAATTCTTTATTCCCTAGACTTTGACGGTTGTTTCATGAAAATCGGTCGAGTGCTTCTATATGAAACAGTCAACTCACCCCCTTGCACGGCCAACTTTGAAGCCTGATTTCACCTACTAAAAGTGTTTATCCGCCGATAAAAAAAAACACGGGTCCCTTAGATTTTAGTCCTCTATAACATATTTAAAAATGAACAAAATCGGAGGGGGACACCTCAGGTACCTTCCTTGTTAGTCCAGGCTTAACTTTTCTCTGAATACTGCCTATCGAGTCTATAACAGTTTCTTTTCAGTCCAGATAACCGAGGGTCCCCCATCTTAGTTCTCGTGACTGGCTGACCAAACTATTACGTAAATAGTAAATAAGTCGAAAGGGATCCCAAAGACTTTGAGCCCAGCTACTCCTCGTAACATTCATAATATTTGGGGAAATGGGATCTCGCAATAACTGATACCACCCCTGCACGGGCGAGCTCGTAAATCCCAGTAGAACGGCGACATTAATAGTTTATTCCCAGAAAAGTAAATGTTAACTTCCCTCTCCCGAGGATACTTCTCCCAAATTCTTCCTTTCGAACGCCTTCCTCGATACTCCAGTAGGAGATTTTTCCTAGTCCTACTCGTCTCCCTAAAACATATTTTCAACTCCTTCCTTCAATAAGAGATTTTTCCTAATCCTATTCGTTTCGTTAAGGCATGTTTTTAGCTCTTATCTACAATGGGAGATTTCCTTCCAAACCCACCTTCAGGGACTAAAAACATTTTCGTGCCTCACTACCGAAAATTCGGGAGTCAATTCACGCATCTCAAAACTTAGTGCGACGTCACGAACGGACAGCAATCCAGAAAATGAATTAAGGTACTTAAAAACACCCACCCTCGTCACGCGCACACGCACACGCGCTCAATTTGTCATTCCTGTAAATCTTCCTCAAATTCTTTTCCCCAATAAACTAAGTAAATCATACTCCCGTTTCTTTATTTCGTAACACACACCTCCACCAACATCGACAATTCCGCATAGGACTCGCTGAGAAGCCCACAAAATTACGATTCCCATTATCTTTTTAATGACACAGTAGGCGCGGGGGCTAGGTTTCGCGTCCCCTTCTGTACACGAATCCGTCTGAATTCTCTCCTATATCTCCTTTCGACTTTACCCAGGGCGCGGAAGCTAGGTCTCGCCTCCCCCTCTGTGTACGAATTCCCTCGAAACTCTTTCATATAATTTGTTCGATCATAGGAAGGCGCGGGGGCTAGGTCTCGCCTTCCCTTCCATACACGAACATTCCTATTTATCCCTTCGATTATACAATAGACGCGGGAGCTAGGTCTCGCCTTCCCTTCCGTACACGAATTCACTATTCCTATCGCCTCCTTATCGCAAGGAAGGCGCGGAGACTAGGTCTTGCCTCCCATTCCACATACGAATATTCCATACACGAAATATCCCCTTCCACTCTGTTCTCTAGATGTAATAATAGTAACTGATGTTAATTTTTATGATCGGAGAGAGTTATGATGGTCACGGTTACGTCCCACGTAACGCTTCCTGCACATGCAACAGCTCAAATATCGAATTAAGATCGGGAGACAGATTTTCAGGAAAAGTCATAAAAAAATCTTAGTTTAAACAGATAATTTTTTACATACATCATACGGTTTTTTCTTTCCACATCCTCTCGAACTTTGTAGAAATTAGCCAATAAACTTTTGTTAATTTTACTGAAACCTTAATTTTGAATTCAATCACCATTGCCCTTTTCCACCTTCACATACCATTGGCATCTTCGGGACATAATAATAAATGAAACAACGATCCTTGGGTGTTGATCAGTTGGATCGCCTGCCTACAGCGTTGGAATCTTGCTTAGGAAGGCCTAAGGTCGTTGCGTTTAATACCTGCTGTGAGACGGACCTATCCTCCTCGGTTTTCCTTCTAAGTCATTCCCCCATTAGCGCGACAAAAGGAGAATTGATCTTTTAAGGGTCCTGGACTGGTCCCATTTGTGCCCTTTGATCTCTACTGGTTAATCCTTCGGAAACCATTGCCCAATGGTCAAACGAATATAGGATGTGGGCAGACTCACAGTTAGAGGATTATTGTAACATTTCTTTAAATAATCTTAAAATTCGTTTAAGCTCAAATTTCCCTAATATGCCATATGTTGCCACCACGTATCGAAACGTCCACGTAGGACTCTACTGAGAGCCCCACATATTTACTTTCTTTTAAACATTGCAAAATCCGAGTTGTGATTTCTCGTCTTGAGACCTTGATATATATAGTGATGTGATATATATAATACATATTTATGAATAAATACACACATATATATATATATATATATATATATTTGGCGAATTTTTTTTATTCTTTTCAGCTTCGTAGACCATTCTGATTAGGCAAAGTCTATTTTATATTGTATAGTTTAGTCCAGCGAGGCATTAGCTAGACACTGCCTAGTTTAAATTAGTCTAGTTAACACGTTAAGTGCTACGCCGGTCCGTAGGGACCGTCCACAGATTTTAGGTTCATGTTACAGCACCGCGCGTATCTGCATTTGCATACTGACTGTGAGACTAAAGATTTCACTTAAGGGACATCGATTTTTGTTCAGTCAATGCTTTAAAAAAAAAAGAATATAATACAGAAAAGTCAATGCAATTTATTGAAACGACGTAAACAAAAGTGTGGATTTTTCTTACATACGTTAAAAATTGTGCTAACTTTTTGAATTAAATTTTTGGACCTAACATTCGATAATTACTTTCGTAACATTCAGTGTAGTATCTTCTAATTTTATACGCACTGCCTTCCTTTTTCACTGAATGATGCTGAGGTCTTGTACTGCAGACAGTTTCTTTTTTCCTTGCTCTGTGTAAGGGCCTCAAGCCGATATTTCGGCGGGCTAACCGCAATTCCGAACACTTCTATTCATTCTCCGGTTCGCCCATCGATGATGGCCCACTTGACGGCCAAGTCTGGGCCTGAACAGAACGGCAAGAAAAACTGGCTGGGCACTTAACGTGTTGGACTATCTGACTACCAGCTAGAACATGAACATGTACCACTAGCTAGAAACTAGCTACTTTTTACTTGGATGTATGGAAATACCATAAGAAAGACATGTAAAGTCATTGAATTGTGCTAACTTTTTGAGTTAAATTTTTGGACCTAACATTCGATAATTACTTTCGTAACATTCAGTGTAGTATCTTCTAATTTTATGCGCACTGGCTTCCTTTTTCACTAAATGATGCTGAGGTCTTGTATTGCTGACAGTTTCTTTTTTCCTTGCTGTGTATAAGGGCCTCAAGCCGATATTTCGGCGGGCTAACCGCAATTCCGAACACTTCTATTCATTCTCCGGTTCGCCCATCGATGGTGGCCCACTTGACGGCCAAGTCTGGGCCTGAACAGAACGGCAAGCAAAACTGGCTGGGCACTTAACGTGTTGAACTATCTGACCACCAGCTAGAACATGAACATGTACCATTAACTAGAAACTAGCTACTTTTTACTTGGATGTATGGACGTACCATAAGAAAGACATGTAAAATCATTGAAGTAACCATTGACAAATTTTGCATTTTCTGATTTTCTACTCTTTATCATCTACTGTCTTAGCGCAAAGATTTTCACGAACAGTATTAATTTCGATTTGTCTCCAATGATCTTGCAGCGCTAAATAAAAATTAATCATCAAAGAGTTATCATAAAATTAATGAATTAATAAGAAAACGCTTAATTCATAGTTCTGCTTCGGAGGTAACCGCAACAGCTGTAAGATGGCTTGATCCGTCTTCCCATGCCACACTCGAATCAGAAATGCGACGATCGGTTAGCGACAATGGGCCAACCGGAAGTGACGGAGTTCCAAGTGATACTACGGAAGATGATTGGTCCCGAGGAAGTGCGGAAGATCCTGATGAAGTTCTTTCGCCGTCGAGTTCACCTTCTCCTTCTCCTGCTGAACCTCCGGAACATACAGGGCCGATCACGGAACTCGACAGAAAGGTCTGGAAATACTTAATTAAACATTATTATCCGTTTAAGAGGACGTCGTTCTAAATGATCGAATCAATTGCAGTGCCTCTTAGGTAACGAAACTGAAACGAAATCTAACCGTACGTACTCGATCTGGGCTCACGTATACGCATAGCTCAACAAAAAAAGGTCTTTGGTGTAAAAAAAGACAAGTTCATAGCATGATGTTATTTTACCTTAAAAACACACTACAAATAATCCTAGAAATAATTAGCTGTCATTATTTTCTTCATGTGATAAAAACTAAAACAAACCTTTAGAAGTAGATATTTTTCAAATTTTATTCACCATTACTTTCATATTATATATTAACAATTTAAAATTATTGAAACGATTATTAATCGAGCTTTGTCTGTACTTGTCACGCGGTAATTGATTTCATTATTTTAACAGGCCGTCGGTACACCGGTTAAAATGTTCTAAATTTGTCGGCAACACTTGATTTCATAAGTTTAGTAAGTTGAATATGAATAACAATGTTTGCTTTTTTTTGTAAGAGTAATATTATTATTATTGTTACTTCTGAAGGTTTTGTTGTATTTTTTTCAAATAAAGGAGATAATGATCGGTAATTATTTCTAGGGATATTCGTAGTATTTTTTGAAGTTAAAATACCATCAGGCTATGAACTTGTCTTTTTTTTACACCAAAGGTGTGTTTTGTTGGAATTTCTCTTCTTTTTTCAAGAAGATAGCGCAATAATGTCGGATTATCAATGCCCATAATAGTGTGTGACATTTTAGAAATATCAATCAATATTTTTTGTTTAGGACTAATCAATATAAATTTTCAATCATCGATACTTTCTTTTGATCCTGCCTCATGAAACATTAAAGGATGTAAAAGTAGCATTCGAAAGGTAAATTGTTACGTGGCGGCCAAGCGGATGCGAGGGTGGGGAAATTCGGGTAGGGATTACCTGGAATTCTCGCGTAACGAATGTATTAATCTTGTGAGGAGATCACCCGAGCCGGTAGATCAACTCCTCTGGGAGGATTTGCGGAAATGAGGACAGGAGCAGGGTCTCAATGAATGACAATGTAGGCAAATGTGCTATGATTGTCGTATTTGTCCGCCAGTAATGTTTCGTTATAATCAGCTGTGAGGGGTAGTCGAGATGCCTTGATCTGATTTTCTCTAGGGTTATCCTACTTCCGCGTCGAGGCGGTTTGGGTGTCGCGACAACGCGCTTTAGCGGCGGTAGGTTGCTGTATGCCCAGAATGTAGACACGGAGATTCTTCGCTGTTAGAATGGCGGACTACTGGTAATTCTAATCTATCTCGCGGTGCTGAGATTTCGAGCTCAGCTGTTCGAAGAAAATTAACGAAATCTTAATCTGTCCGGTTAACCGGAACTAGGCATGGAAATCGCAACAATGGTTAGTATTCGATTCGATCGGAGGTAAGATTAGAATGAAATAAAGATGAGTCGAGTTTGCGAACTATCCTCTACCTGGCTTAACACATTCGCGACGGGATGTACCACCGGTGGTACACATCGAATGGCAAAACCAATGGTTTAAAATTTCCCCGGCGTGAACGTGTTAATCAGCGGCCGAATTTGTGACACTCTCCTTTGATCGACTAAGCCGGGTAACTGAACACCTTGGACCCGTGCCGTGCCCTAGGATCTCCTAGAAGACCTCCCTTCCAACGGAAGTCGTAGTGCCGCCGTTTGTTTCTTACTCGGTGCGCTTAGATCGCCGGAGTACCGGATGGCACTACTGCGGCTCACAGGATAGATGATCTTCGACAGGGAGTCCGGCGATCTCGGTCTCTACTTCGCTAGGAACGGAGTACCAAAGACCAGAAGCTCCACTCAAAATCGTCGACGTTGACTAGCTTGTGGCAAAACGGCTAACACTGAAAGACCCCGCTAATTTGCCGGTTGTCGGTTTTATTGGCAGGGTGTTCCAATTGGTGGGAGATGCTAGGGCCCAGGTGAGAATGGCGTTTGTGGGGCGTGCTGATGCGCTGTACAGTCATGAGATTGTTTGCTTCGAGTCGATCCATGACTTTTGCAGTCGTCTTGGCCGATGAAATTGTCGTGTCGGGTAGCCTGGATCTGGATCCTTTCGCATGAGCTTTCTAATCGTGTACCTGTATTCGGATTTCCATGGCTAGCCTCCGATGATCGGATTATATTTTTCCCTAGATTCGAGGGTGCTAAGGCTGCTTACATAACTCAATCGTTTATTAAAACTTTTCTCCGGGTGTACCGAATCGTTTCAAACTTTACAACGTGAGCATGGAGGCTTTAAGGAAGGTCTTGACTGTCATGAAATTTCATTTATTATAAACAATTTTGAAAATATCAATAAACAAATGTAAAAGATTGAAATTTTATGGGTGTCAGGACCTTTCTTATAGCCTCCATATTCACATTGTCAAGTTTAAAACCAGTCTGTACATCCGGTTCGGAGAAAAGTTTCGTAAATAAGACCGCTTTGATGCCACTTTCACATCTCCTTAATCCAAATGATATTCCTTAGAAATTAAGTATATATTTAGTAACATTCCGTATCAAACTACGTATTTGTTTAATATTATTAAAAAATGATGTTCTGAAAACATTCATGCTAAAAGTAGAGCAAGACATCAATCTAGGGGCCTCGACTTTGGTTGTAGAATAATAAATATTCTTTAATCTGAATTATATTAAGTCCAGATACTTTCAGATTGATATTTCATAATAAATCATGTATCGATACTATCTTCCAATATTGCATCATGAATCATATCATCGGCGTTAAAGGCAGTGTTGAAATGAAAGTATCGATTGATATCGATATGCTTATACAGCAAATTGTGGAGATCTGTAATCTGCATTGAATTCAGTATTAGTGTTCTGAACTATCCATGCTAAATGTAGTATCACAATATCAAAATAATGTTAATAATAAGATCCCACATAACACTCCTGTATCCTATGAATGTTCTACGAATATTCATGTAGAATATTTGGTTGTTTCCAAAATATGGTGTAACTATTTAAGATATACAGTAAATATTCATCGAACACAGAAAGCCCGCTCGGTGGACAAACATAATATCCACAGGAATATTTGTTCATATGTTCAGAAAATATTGCCACACGTTTTCCTTTACCTTGGGCGCGCTGGCAAACGGGGGGGGGAAGTATCAGGGTCCGCAGGTGGATCGCCTCTCCGCGAGATCGGCCGGAGGGAGTTCGCCCGACAGCCGCAGGGCCGTTTTTATTTGTATTAGGGCGCCAGGCGCGAGAAGCGTGCCGCGGCCCGCGGATTCCCGGCAAGGGCGAGGCCGATGTCGCGGGGCGAGAAACGGCCCCGATCACCGGCTACTCAGCCCCGTGGAAGTCCTTACGACTTTCCGTGGCACGGTAGAGACGAGGGGTTCGAGGTCCCTACAACGTGAAGGGTACTGGGAGGACGGACCGTAAAAAGAAAGGACACGATAACCAAATATTTAGTGAGACGGCACGGTAGTTCTTTATTCGCGATCACAATTCGGAAACACTATATACGGGACGCAAGACATCGGACTTCTGAATCCCGCCGGCACGCTACTTTAAGACGGAAACCTCATGGTTCCACGGGACGGGCGGCAACGCCAGCCCTCCAGGGCACAACGCCCGCTCGGACTCCGCTCGGTCCACGGCCCGCCAATTCCGGCTCCGGGAGCGACGAGTCCTACTCAAAAGCTCGGTCCACGGCCCGCCAATTCCGGCTCCGGGAGCGACGATTCATACTCAAAAGCCGCGGGATCATGCTCACGGGACACACATATTTCGCACGAGAACTCACCGCGACGAAATCACCGATTTTCTAATTCCGATGTTTCCGGCGCACGCGGCCGAAACATGGCGGACGAGGGGTTGCGTGTCGAGGAGGATACAAGTTACCATTTAATAAAATTTAGAGCGGAAACGAATCTTTACTAAACCCCATCGTGGGTTTACTCACCAAGTCAGTGGCAATCCAACCACGGGACGAGAGCAGGGCCTCGGCGGCCACGGGAGAAGAGCGGTTATCGGCAGTACCGGCGACACTCGGAGTATCCTGGACAATGAGCTCCGCGGCTCGCCAGGACCTCCGAATTTCGGAAACCCCTCTCCCGTCCTTCCGTCGAACGCCGTCAAGCTGCCAAGCGCCGTCAATTGACAGTGCGCGCGTTAGATGTCCCGGTGGGTATCGCGGCGCAATAATTCAGATCCCGATTTTTCCTCCTCGACTCGTACCGACCGTGGTAATGACCCGCAATATCAGACCCATTTACGATACTTACTAAATAACAAATCTTATACTAACAAATTTTTACAACACATGCTGACAATTAATGACTGCCCAAGATGGCTCTGAGTGTCGCCAACCGATACTGAAATTAAATAATGTCAAAATTCGGTACTCACCGCTACCGCCGCGTCCCTAATTGCGACGGCAGAATTCTGCCACGTCACAGTATATATATATCACATACGTTCAATAAACATTTATATACGATTAATTTACGGATATTCCACGTTCAGCGGTGCCTGGGTAGTTTATGGAATTCTATAACTACCTTTTTGGATTACTGGATTATAACTAGTCGAAATTTACGTAAAGAGGGGCTACGTAACACTTGCGAGTAGCCGGGGTACGGTTTTATGTGCAAAAGTCAAGAGATCAAATATTTCGATCGGTATAGGGCGAAACGACTGCATTCGATTTCATCTCGTTTCGATAATTAGATCAAATGTTACATTCGACTTATGGAAAAACGAAATTAAAAAAAAAAACTGATTAACAAATGGCCATCAAAAATTAAAAATGCGGCGGAAAAACTGTTTTAAGATTGGAATCTCTTGACTCGTATGTGCTATTGCATATACAAATTTAGTGATTTTTTCATTCACATTAACTTATCCGATGTTACGTGGTGGCCGAGTGGCTAGCGAGGCCGGGGGAATTTTGCAGATTCCTCCGAGCGGTATACTGTTCGTAGAGATATTAACTCGTACGCACGCGTAACCAGTTTATTATTTGAGAGATATGGAGAGGATAACCCGAGCGGCTAGGTCAACCTCTTTGGTGGGATCGATAGGATTTTTGGTCCTCAAAGGGTGTTGGAAAGTTCCAATGAGGACACAGGAGGATTTTAAGGTTTCGTGAGAATCAAGTCGTCGTTTTGTATTGAATGAAACAGTTCTATTTGATGTAAGGGGTACAATGTCCATGGGGGTAAGATGTGCAAATATGTGCTGCGCTAAGCAGATCGTCGCGAGTCGAGACAAGGATGTAGGCCGCGCGCTAGCGCCTCGCGGAAGTGTAATCGAGATACGTCCGCGTATCAATTGCGGAATGCTGACGCGGGATTCTTTGCTTGCAAGGTGCGCTTTGCCTTGCTCAGCAAGGGCGGCTAATGAGATGCGATTCATACTTGAAGAGTTAGAATTTGATAGTTGTTACTGGAAGGTAGATACCGAATTATATTGCGGGTTAGTAATTTGGAATAGGGTTCGAAATAGAGTGATAAAAGAGTAAGAGTGGAAGAGTGGAAGAGTGGAAGAGTGGAACTCTTCGAAGAGGACCTGTACCTTGGCTTCGCAGAGGCCTTTACTTTCGGTGACGTCTCTCCTACGTCCTGCCGGTTGCGATGAACTGCACGTAAACGCCATCAAACCGGGGCGTGCCCTAGGGTTGGAGCTTCCTAAGATTCTCCCGCTGGTCCGGAATTCGCAGCGTCGTCGTTCTTCTCACTGTTGGCTCGTGGATGTCGGAGTACCGAAACGCACAACTGTTGCTACGGTACGGTCAGCTCTTTAGAGAGCTCCAGCCTCGCTCCTGAGACTGCTCTGTACGCTGTCTTAAACTCTTCTATATTATCGACTTCTGCTTTTCGGTACCGCTTTTATACGAGATCTTATCCTTGAGATGCCCGTGAGGACAGGGTCCGGTTTCTTTGTTTATGGATTTTGTTGTTAGAAGTTTGATCGGAAGTGCTAAGGTAGTTACTATGTTGAGTGTTAATTATTAGTGTTAATAAAAATATTGTTAAGTGTAGTTCCGTGTTTTGGTCCAGAGTGCAGTTCGATGCGGAGAGCGTGCGAATAAGCCAAAACAATCCTCGATGATTGTTCCACTCGTTATTTTTTCGATTTAATCGGATGATACAGTCGTTGCTTTGGATTCGATATTTATCTTCTGGTAACTGACTCATACTTAATAGAATGCGCGCCTCTCTATTTTGAGGAAAATCGGGTAGCCTCGTAACACCGAAATAAATTTAACAGTTAAAATGGGGTCTCCGAAGATTTTGTGATAACCAAACGTATTTTAAGTTTTTCTGCGGACCGTTTTCACGGCCGAACCACTGAAGATAGACAGGCGCTGTCATTGACTTCTTCAAAAGAAGTTTTGTACTCTATAAAATTGATTCTTTACATTTTTGTTCTAACTCTAGTTGAACATTATCCATATTTTTCAATAAACTATAAAATGATTGAAATTTTAGGACTAAAATATCGCTTATTTGACTGGCCTAATTATCCAAAACTCGCTATTGACAGATGCTGCAAACTTTGCACTTGTTCGAAACTGCCGACCTTCCATACTTTATTTATATTATATTATTTGGTTATGCGCGTACACGCATTAATGTTCACGCGATTATATTTTCTTTGACTAAACTAATTTTATTCAACACTCACTCACGTTTATGCTGATTTACTGATTTAGACAGCAATCTGTGAGATATAAGAAATATTTTACAAGTATATGTAAATTTACAGGAAACATGCGTATTTTTTAAACGATTTAACTTTGTTAACAGGTTCGACAAGCAACGGAAGCCATGCAGAGACTCTGTCAGTGTCCTTCAAATAAATGCTCGAAATTAAAAGTTCGCAAAGTTGGAGAAGGTCGCTACCACATTGCTGGACGCAATGTTTTTATTAGGGTAAGGAAGGTATCTAATTGAATATGTTTCCTTTTTATAAAATCGTTTCTACGTCGTCATGTTTATTAACCTGTTTTCATTATAGTAGGAATCCATTGGATCTACGTATGAGTTGTGCCGTGACGCGATTTGACACGGCGACGAAATTTTTAATTATAATTCCACTTACCCCCGTTACGCTGCGTGCGGCCAGGGAACTTCAATGCCAAATGAATTTTTGAATAAAATGGGGTTCAGACCTGCATCACGTTGCATAACAAAATGGCACTTGGGCTCAATGGATTCCTTTGAAAGAAATTGTGTTAGTACGGCGGGAAAGATGAAACCTCGCCGCACACGGCATTTGCTAGGCCACTTGTGTAGAGTCGCTGTGCTGTGTGTCGTGCTTGAATATGACACCCCCGCAAGAAGCGGTGCTTGAAACCCTGCAGGTTTTCAATGATTCAATGCGTACGATTTTTCTTGTTTGGTGCTCGCTGAGGCGAAGAAGTCAATCAGAATCTGTTTCCTTCACCACATTGGCTCCTTGTCTTTACGTTTTGGGAACAAGCCTCTATCATTCTGCTGAGTAGCCTGCTTGATGTGAGGCCAAGCCTCCACCACAACCTGCGTGTTCCCATGCAATGCAATCAACACAGCTATCAATATAACAATGCTCTAAGCAAGTTGACAAAAACATCAGCATCAACAAGCTTAAGGTGATATGAAAGACTCCGAGAAATTTAATCGACATCGATAAAATACAATTCGTCAAGGACGATTTTGGTAACAAACTATGGGAAACGGAAAATATTTTTTGATGTCCCAAAAGAATCATACGATTTCCGCGTATTCAAGGTTCGTAAGCAATCATCGTTGGTTTCCTTTTCTTTACGAACCATCTTAAGATATTATTAAACGGCTCATAGGGTCTTAGCCCTTCAATGGAAATCGATATTCGTTTCAGGCCTTTGGGGGTGGGTCCGAAATCTCGATACGTAGCTTAAACTATTTTTGGACGTGACAGTTACATAGCACATAACAGGGCCCGGTAGAGCTCGACCCTTACAGGATTTACCATGCCATTGGGGGCATCTTGAAGGTGGCAGCAGCGAGCCCTCCGGTACCTTCGTTCCCGTCCCACACGATACCCCTGTCCTGAGGCTCCAGTCGAGACAATCACCGTGGTCTAGACCCTCTGGGAATATCGGACGATCTGTCCACTCAGAATATTCGACCGGGCGACCCGCCATATTAGAACACCCGGTAGAGTTTCGCGACAAATACATTTGAAAGTCTGCGCGAACGGCGCCGAATACTTAACGCGAAAATTCGGCCCATCAATTCGATAAATATTTTTTTCTCAATTAAGAAAACTTATCATTGACCCATGTTTGGCACAAAGAAAGTATGTTCCGTTTTATAGAGCCTGTAATCTTTTCAAGTTTTTCCACGCCATCCGCTATACGCTAAGCTAACATGGAAATATTCAAGGTCACGTTTCGTTCAGTTGATGTATTCATCATCGTCTTCGGTCCGCATTCTTTTCGTCGCAACTGCATTCCACTACAGTTACATTGAAAGACCGTACGTGGCGCTGTGGTAAACTGCCGTAATACATAAGGCCGGAGTCCACTAAACGCGTCGGGTGTCAAATAGAGTTCAACGCGTCGTGGTGAAAAAGAAGTCAATAACTGTGACGAAAGTGATTTTTCATGAACGCGTTGATACGCCGCACTCTGTCGGACTCTGGCTCGGGGCGCAGGTGTCGTTTCCACTACATCTTGACGATGGACAAAATAGATGAATTTTCAGTTTAACAAACATCAAAGGCAGTTCCAGATTAGTCATTCATGTTTTTAGGTTATTGCTTGTCAGATTAAGTCAACAAACATCGGTGACAGCTTCAGATTAAATATTCATGTTTTTAGGTTGTTGTCTGTTAGATCAAGTTAATAAACATCGATAACATTTATGGAACTTTTTTAGGTATTACTCGTTAGAAGTGCCATTTCCTTTGTATCATATACCATTAATTCACTTTCTTTTCAATACCAGTTTAACATTTTAACGCTTTCAGCTTGGTGCACTCGTAACTCGATACTATCCTTGTATTATAGATACAAGGAAAGTATCGAGATACGAGTTGTATCTATAATAAAAATTATAATAATAAAATTATGAATTATAAATTATAATAATTTGTAGGTTTCTTTCGACGCCAGTTTCAATTTTCATTCAACATCAGTTTTAACATTAACACTTTCAGATTGGTTTACTGGTAAATCGATACTTTTCACATGTCTATATTACAAATGATTTTTAGTTTTCTTTCGATACCAATATTAACGTCAACTCTTTTACTTTTGCAAATAATTAAATTTTCTTCCGATACCAGTTTTAACATTAACTCTTTTATAATTAAATTGTTTTCCGATAACAATTTTAATATTAACCCTTTATAATTAAATCACCACAAAAACACCGTCGGTGTAAAAAACTTGCGCCAAATTCATCCTATTGGAAATGTCTATGATACAAAATCATCCATACAGTGGCATATTGCATAAAGTCCATGAAATCGGTTACTTTTGCCAAATACGTTCATTGAGTGTTATATGCGAAATAAAATTTTACAAAAATGCACCCATAAAGTGTATTAATACATATAAGTGTATTTAATATNCAGATGACGGGGCGGCCGAACTCCTCGATCGAGGTAGCACGAAATCCTCGGTCGAGGCACCCGCGATCGAATACTCGCGAACGAGAAATACGAAAGAACTCTTGTCACGACAAAGGTTGCGAGGGGAAAAATCTCGACTACCGAGTTCCGCCTTGGTCCACGGTCGACGCACGAAGAGAGGGCCCCGCTGGCCGAATTCCAGCGAGGGCCCCCCCGAAAGCGATACGCGCGGGGTGCGAACGGCGCCAACCGTTGGCGCCGGTGACCCCCAAATGTAAACAGAGCGACCGAGGAGAGTCTTGTCGACTCTCGCTCGATCGCTCGAACATTCTCGTCACATATTATATGTGTTCAGCAAGATTCATCACTGCTATGCACTCAATTATTACTTTATGGGTATATTTTCGTAAAATTTTACTTTGCATCTAACGCCCAATGCACGTACAAGGTCTATCCCAAAAGTAAGTTGAATATGTCCAGGAAAAGAGATTCATTGCAGATAAACGTACAAGCAACTAAAATTCTTCAAAGTAGCTTCCTTCCGCGTCGGAACATCTTGTGCCAGCGGTAAACCATATTTTGGGACATGGTATTATCGCCATAAGCTTCCCTCAGCATGGCAACGGTCTGGGCGCCCGTTTTCTTGAGCGTAACACGAAATTTTATCGCGTAACGCTGGTCCTTGAAACGTGGCATCTTGAAATTCCGACGCGTCAGTAAGACAAGGGTTCGAACTAGCAGCGATGCGCACTGTGGATCAGCCTGCAGGCAACTCAAGCGAGTATCGTTAGCTTCCCTAAATCCCCCACCACCTTTCCCGTCACTTGACGCGCCTTGCTAGCGGCTTGCTTCAGCGGCGCAAGGTCATTCAACTTACGTTTGAGACAGACCCTGTATTTGACAAAAGTAAGTGATTTCATGGCTTTTGTGCGATTAATCGCCACTGTATGGATATGACTTTGTATCATAGACATTTCCAATAAGATGTATTTGGCGCAAGGGTTTTTACACACGTGTTTGTGGTGATTTCACATATTTTGTAATTTGTATTGAGTTACACAATAAATATTGAGTTATACAATGAATATTGAGTTATACCTAAATATTGAAGTCCATCAGATACACATTGATGACAAGGTCAAAGGTACTTCAGGTTAGAAGCCCCTTTAGATTGATTAAAGTTTATTACAATATTTCTGTGTTAATACACAGAAAAAAAATTGATTTATTTATCTTATATGGACTGTAATTTTTTTAATTTTACTTATTTAAATAATGACGCTAATGATATATCATCTTCTGAAATAATCATTATTTGATATATCATTTATTAACATTAAAGGATCGATACCAGGAAAGCAACAAACTAAAATTGTCAATGTTAATATAATTTGGTATTAATTATTGAGTAACGACTTCGAAGTTGGTACGTTCCTGCTTCCAAATATTGTGGGACACGAGACATAGGGAGACAGTCTTCTGGCAAGGAATGTTTTTCAGGTATTCGCCTCCGATTGTTTTGGTTCTTGGATACGTTTTAGAGGACCAAAAAGTAAGAAACACGTGTATTCTTATTTTGTCCCGTTTTCATATTTAGGGGGTGAAACAGCCCCTGAAAGTTCATAAGAAGGGGTATAAGAATTCGTAGTTTAAAGAATAATGTGTTGAATAAAACTTGTTATAATTTTAATATACGTCATAACTTGTTTGGTATTGTGATGCTGCATTTCTGGAGAGGAAATGCCGTCCCATAAAGGGCCATAGTAGTATCGAGGCACCATCGAAAACCCCTGTCTCGGACCATGAATGGCTGAGGGAAACGGGGGGACAGTGAGGGCCGCTGGCCAATAGATATTATCTCTGATTTCCGTACCACGCATCAATTTAACTTGATGAATTATCTGTAAAGGACGCGAACTCGAGAGATTATGTTTTGTTTTAGGAAACTGGGATGAGAATCTCGATTAATTAATCCACATCGAGTACCTTCTCTCTCACGTTAGCCGAAAAGAGGCGTTTTAATTATCTAGTAAAGTACTTCGGGTTCGATTAATTCCCCCCTTTCTTTACTTAAGTAGCTGAAAAGAGAAACATCGTCAATGTTTCATAGTCTCTTTGGCGATAAGCCATACTAATAACGTTTCCTTTATTTTATTTCCTTCGCCTAGTGCGAATACTTTAGTGCTTCAAACCTCGCCGAATTTCTTAACCTGTAAGCGCGATGGCCTGGCTCGATGCGCGCAACGCTTGACCGCTGCGGAATAACCCCAAATAAACGTACAGAATCGGCAAGAAATCGGCTGGGAAAGGCGACAACTGGCACCAGAAGGAACAT